GATGAACGAGTTATATGGGATTTAATTCAAAGATAAAAGTGACTTGGCATTGCTACTTTCCACTTGTTGATATATTTTAGTCGATCATTGTTATATCTATAACTTATCTCTCTCGAATACTCAATCGAGGAGTATATCCAATTCATCGAGGATAGTTATTAACAACAACCGTTCATTAATAACCCTTACTATTAGTCAAGTATAGAACAACGCCATATACCGACTTGATAGTAGCATTTAATCTTTTAACTCCTTGATGAAATCAATTGAGATTGATAACCTCAACACAACGGTTTCGGTTTAACCAACAAAATTAATCCCTCTTAAGTTTATTAACCACGACCGTGCATTAATAAACCGAAGTTACTTACTTGTGAAACTATCAACGATTAACCATCGGTTCGTTGATCGTTTCTAGTAATAATTAATATGTGAAACAAAACTAGTTGATCCTTTAAGTAATGTTCAAAATATTAATATGAAATATGAATAGGGATTAATTAATATTCAAGGAAGAATATTAAAGAAGATGTATCCTACTATGGTTAATATCAAGATGTTAACTAATTGTCATCTTAGTAACGCTCCCCGATATTAACATAGAGGAAGGAATAGCTATTACTAAGACCAATGTCAAGATGTTAACTAATTGTCATCTTAGTAACACTCCCCAACATTGATATAGAAATAGTATTTAAAGGAAGAATTAATATTCAAGGAAAAGAAGTTAAGAAAATAACTCACAACTTTAATAATCAACAAGCTTCAAGAGCAATACCAAGAAATGGAAGTTTAGCTCCTCATTTGGAGACTAAACATGCTATAAAAATATAAAAGAAATACTATTCTAAACTGAGCTTAAGAGTATGGAAGAAGGGATGATTATTTGTGAAGGAAAATGGGGTTATTTATAGGTGTTTTCAACACCCTGGGGCATTGACCCGCCCGGGTAAAAGGACATACCCGACCGGGTCAACGTCAAAATCACATATTTCCCACGTTCTGGCGATCTTCGGCATGTTCTGGTGTTCCGGGTCACATCTGACCCGACCGGGTCAAATAAGTGACCCGCCCGGGTCTAGTGACTTTCTCAGCAGTTTCTGATTCTTTGTCATACCCGACCGGGTGAAGTATTGTACCCGGTCGGGTTTGTGCTTCTGGGCAGCCAAATCTTATTTTTCTTCACTTCAAAGTCCTCCTTTTCAACACCCTAATTCCTAACTCTACTTTACAACTTACAAATGAAGATTAAAATACAATTACAACTAAAATCACACAAATGTTTACAAACTAAATAAAACGGTAAACAAACCACACAAATCATACGTAAAAAACATACACTTGTGCACTACTAATTAGTGCATATCATTTCTCCCCAGCTGCGACGGATCCACCCGCAACATCGACGGATCCACCTGCAACAGTGACGGATCCCGTCTCCCTCACGCTAGAGCCGTCAATTCCTCATTACAGGAGCAGAACTTGTGGGGAGCCCGGTCCATCAAGTTTCATGCAGTACGCCAGACGGAATGAACCTAGTGTATCATTTCTAGAGCCTCTGACGGAACGCTTTGGCAGACCTGTCACGACATCAGCGTCGACACTTCCAGAGCGACGCCCCGAAGTGAATTTCATCCCGTCACCAACCCATCCTGAAGTCACCTAGATGGTAGGACCAACGTCTTCTATCTCAATACCTATCCACCCAGCCGTAGCAGATCAGATGTCCATGTTGATGGAGCAAATGCATCAGATCCAGGACAAGATCAACAGATTGCCAGGGGTACCCCCGCCCTTGGAAAGAGCGTCACGAACGTGTTATGAAGACTCACCTTTTGACGCTTCGATCATTCGTGTCCAACTGCCGAATAAATTTGATGTACCAACCATGGAGCCATTTGACGGAACCACGGATCCTGGAGAACATGTCGCGCGATATAAGCAAGTGATGTCGACCGTCCCCGTTAGACCGGAACAGAGAGAGGCATGTATGTGTCGAGGATTCGGCATAACATTGATCGGTCCCGCTTTGACATGGTTTGTCAATCTTCCGAATGGAAGCGTCAGTTCATTTGCCGAACTCGTCAATCTTTTCAATCGACAGTTCGCGAGTAGTAAGGTATTGGAAAGACGGACCAATGACTTGTATCAAGTCACACAGAGGCATGGTGAATCACTTAGAGATTATTTGCACAGATTCAACGTAAGGAAGGTGTCGATCCCAAAATGTGACGTCTCTACCGTCATTGAAGCATTCCGAAGAGGTTTATATGAAGATTCAGAGCTATACCGAGAGCTGACGAAATACCCTTGTCGATCCTTCGAAGATGTCCAAGCAAAGGCATTGGCTTTCATTCGTCTAGAAGAAGACTTACGATCCCGTCTTGGACATGTTGAGCATGAATGGGGGCACGGGAAATCAGAATCTCCTAGGAGGCATGATTACAAGTCTGGGAAACCTTATTCAAGACCCGAGGAACGAGTCGTCATTCCATGACGAGATGAACAAGACAAAGTGATTGATATCTCGGACGGGGGGCACATCGTCCGATGATAGACAGATTTTAAAGAGCTGCAATACGGTACCCTTAAAAGTTGTTTCATTTTTAGTTTACCTTCTTTCGCATATTGTCATCAATTCCGTGACGAGTCACTTCTGTGACGGATCGCTTTCGTGACGAATCACTTTGATGACGAATCACTTTCTTGACGAGTCACTTCCGTGACGAATCACTTTCGTGACGAGTCACTTCTGTGACGAGTCATTTCCGTGACGAGTCACTTTCGTGATACGTCACTTCGGTGACGAAATGATTGAAATTGTCAGACGGTAGACATGTTTTGGCGATAACTTATCTAGATTGGTATACATATTCTTAATCTATTATTTTCATTTATCTGTAAACGATCACTAACTTAATCGTCGGAGGGCCGTTGGCTTAAGACCAACGACCAACCCTAACAACGTTTTGAGTACAGAAAACCAAACGAGACGCCAAGTTTAATGAAGCACCATCAGTAAGTTACTTTAATACGTCACAGGTCCTTGTAAGTTCATTTAGAAAACAATGACGTATCGAGTACGACGAATTTGTTAAAGCGTCATGTTCAATTTGTGCATTTCCTTTGAATTATTTTTTGTGCATGTTTTAATCTCAGTAACTTATCTCATTTCTAAGCTTGAGTTCAATAAATTTTGGATCCTTTATGGAAACATTATGTGGTCATCTTGTTCATAGAAAGTTGTGACGTATTCGGTGTAGAGTATACATTTCCGCTTCAAGATATATTCATTGCTTTTACTGACTTAATCATCAGAGGGCCGTTGGCCCAAAGCCAACGGCCAGCTTCGACGGTTTTTAATGGATGCAGGACTATCTCGAAGCACAAGATCAAGCAATTACCGAGGCAACTAATATTTCAACCATGCTCATGCCAGTTACATATTATACACTAACATCAGATGGGAAAGGGCTGGGCTGCCCATGAGAAGATCATGGATAACAGTCCCAGCCGGCCCTTACAACATATATATTTTTTGGCCAAAACCTACACACGTATATGACACCGCACGTGCAAGCAAAACATATATGACAACGCGCGTGCAACCAAAATATATGTGATAACTCACGAACAACAAAAAATACAGAACTACACAACAGAAGCACATGCTCCAACATAAGGAGATAGTACAAACGAAAAACGTAACGCTATTTAAAGCTTTTGCAGGATATGGATCAAGTTCACACAACCCAAGTCGTCATATTCAACTACAGACGGAATCACCCATGCCAACTGAAGTGTCGACATCAATCTGGACGAAGCTTTAACTCGTCAGCACTGCCTAGATTTGGAAGAAGAGCGTAGGAGATCAGCCCTCGTTCTTCATTGCTTCAGTCAAAGAGACGGATTCGATCAAAAACTACTTGCAAGGAAAATGACGAGTTGGCGGAAGCGTCTTATCTGAACATTGACGGGTTGGCGAAAGTGTCTCGCCGTTCAAGTGACAAGTTGACGGGAGCGTCTTATATGAAGATTGACGAGTTGACAAAAGCATATCGATCGCCAGATGAGTGACATGTTGATAGAAGCGTCGCCTCATACAAATGACGAGTTGACGGAAGTCATCTCGTCAGACGAGTCACGATTTAAAGGAAGCATCTCACCAGATAAATGACGGATCGATAGAAACGTCTTGACATTCGAGTGACGGGTTGACAACATGTCTTGTCAAACTGATGATGAGTCTATAAGAGAAATAATCAAGGATGACAAATATAGGTGGTTTCAATATTTCGAAAAGTTGATGCTTAACGGGTTGACATTTGCACCGTACGCATCAACTTCTCGAAAGGGGGCAATTGTTGGGCCGAGAATTATCACACCCAAGGAAGACATGTTGTGAAGATGGAGCAAACCGGCCCATAACTAATGAAGCTTGTTAAGGAAGTCAAAGCCCAATAAAATATTTGACAATGGAAGATGGATAGTAATCTGTAAAAGGAAAAAACGTGGCATGGGGATAACATCAAGTAACTGCCGGCGCAAGAGGAGGAGTGGCTACTATTTCGGCACATAGTTGAGCCGATCATCATGGAAACCTTTTAGTATAAATAGAAGGATAGACTATAAACGAGGCACACATTATTCTTAGTTGGTAGTAGCTAATATCTCAATTTCATTCATAGCAACAAGATTTATATATATTCTATTTTCCATTTAATCTCTTTGATCAAGAATTCTTGTACGATTCCCATACATTAAAGTGATTGTTTCTAGGTTAATTATTTATTGCCTAAACAGTAGTCAAAGTAGAACATGTGAATAGTGCAAAAAGTCTAATGTTGCAAATAAAAGAGAAGGGAAGTAGTAATCTATTTGTGTACCTCTCAAAAAAAATCTATTTGTGTAAAATCCCAATGTTAGTAGTTACGGCACATATCTATTTGTGTAAAATCCCAAAGGTCAAACATCTCTGATTAGTAGTTACGGCTCTTTTGGCCCAATAAGCCCGAAAATTGTCGTTGCCAGAAAATTCCTCCCTCCAATTCTGCTCGAGTGTAAGCGATGGAAGAGGAGAGCTGGGAAGGACTCGAAGTCGACGATTCCGATCTTCGTTCTCTCCTCCAACCTTGCAAGCGCCTCCGCCCCGACAAAAGTAACGGTATCTCCGCCGCCACCACTTCTTCAAACCCCCCCTTCACAACCATCTCTGCCTCTAGTCATATATCGGAAGGCGGAAACCACAATTCTCTCCTGCAAACCGAGTCAACCCATCCTCCGCCACAGTCACACCGCATCCCTGGTCCAGCCGCAGTCGTACAATCTGCGATGCACCAGAGGGATTTAGACCGCCAATTTCGCGAGTCCTCGTTGTCTCAAGACGGGAATCCCATTCCTACTCAGGATTATGTTAGGAAGGCAGTTGAAGGTTATTCGGAATTCGACTATGATTTCAAATCCAATGCCTGGGTTTGCGCCCTTCATTTTATCCGTACGGACTCCTATACAGTTAGATACATCAGTGAAAATGAATTACAGTACTACGTATTATTTATTACTCCGTATTATAAAAACAAAAATATGTTTTATGCCGCATGTGTGTGGTACAGGTGAAGTGTCTGGAATCACTACTTTGAAGTCAATCACGAAATGCATGTCTAGAGTAGAGAAGGTATTATTGCAACTTGTAGCAACTAGCATTTGTAGCTTGAAATGACTGTGAGCTACAAATTAGACTTACTTTGAACATTGAATAAATGAAGGCTATCAAAGTTGTAGCCTGCGCTGATTATGATTGAGGAAATTGATTGTGCTAAATTTGATTGAGTAAACTTTACTCAAAGAATTGAAGGCTTTTTTTGTAGTTGAGTGTCTATAACTTTTTCTTTCTTTTTTAAAACTTGTATTTTCACTGAATTGAAAATTTTGTACGTAAGTACTATGCGTCTGTATTTTTTACCCTTCCTCAACACCCTTGTTTTTACCGTGTGACTATTAGGTTGTGGCTGTAATAAAGTCTTCTAAACCAAATGGACTAGGTGGTCTGATGGTAACTCTGAAGGTAAAAGAAAAGACATTCTGGATTATCATACCGGTAATATATTATTTTGTTACTGATTTCCTTGGCTTCAAAATATAGGACCCCACAGGTACCATTACCGCTAGCATTCATCCAAAAGTGCTGGGTGAGGGTAAGTTTTGCAAGAACATAGATGTAGGCACAGTTGTGGTTCTAAAGGAGGTATTTTTCTTTTAGTCATCGACAATATCTAGTAGCTTATAATGATCTGTTTCTGTGCAGATTTGTGTCTTTCATTCATTTCCTTTTACTTGGTATTGACTCTTGACATTGCTCTTTTTTTAGGTTGCTGTATTTGCCCCATCAAGGTCAGCAGTTTGTCTTAATATAACCGTCAGAAATCTGGAAAAGGTGTTTCTTATTGTTCTCACTGCTTTAAGAGACATACTCTAAGTTTCTGAAGCATCTGTGTAATCTAATAGTCTGTTTTGAGAGTTCACACAGAGTTGTACTTTCTAGTCTATACTCCCTTCCAACTCATAATAAGTGTCATTCTGGAATTTGGAAGAAAGCATGCAAATTGAGGAGTTATTAATGTGAGAAAAACTTTATGATAATACCCTTTTACTAACATTTAATTAGCCTAAAAGATTGGTTTTGTCAGGGGTCATACAAGAGAGGAAAATATAAAAATATAGCATGAAATACTCTCTACATTTTTTAAAATGACGCATAGTTTTTAGATGGAAAATTCCACTAGAACAAAATGTATTGTGAACCTGAAATAGTACAACACAGATCTCCAACTTTTCATTAGACCTCTCATTGGACTTGGATCTGAAATGGTTCTATTGTTTAGGTGTTCCCCGAGGATAGTGATTGTCTACCAACAAATGCTGAGAAATGTGATGATACGTGCATAGGTGGGCATTTATTTGTAGAAATTCAACTATGTCATCATAAGCATTGTTTGTTTTATGGAAAATAACTTGTGGTGGAAAAATGTTTCATGGAAATATTTTTTCCCCAGAAAATGTTTTTCTAAAAATACAAGTATTCGATATGTAATACTCCTTCCGTATTTATAAGTTCACTACAATAGCATTGGGCACATTATTCAAGAATGAAATAGTAGGAGTAATGAATAGTGTAGAAAAAGTAGGAGAGAGTGTGTAAAAGTATGAAAGAGAAGATAAAATGTAGAAAAAGTAAGGGTAGTTGTGTATTTTTAAAGGAAAACTTACCAAAAAGGGAAAGTGTAGCGAACTTTCAAATACATCCCAAAAAGGAAAGTGCAGCAAACTTTAAAATACGGAGGGAGAATAATGTTCGGAGTGTTTCACACACAAATCTTTTTTTCCTAAATGCTTCCCGCTTTTTCCACAGAAGTCTATGTTTTTAAATCTGTTATGGAAAATGTTTTCCTTACTAAATATAGGAAATCATGTAAACTAACAGAGCCTTGTGTTTTACGATAGTATATTCAGACAGAACTATTTTCAGGATTATTATCTCTAAAAATATTTTGAAATTCATGCTCAGCTAAATAAATGTTAGAAAAATTTGCAGATGTGGGAGAAATGGATGAGAATGATGCATTTCCATGTAACAACACACTACAATGTATGACACAACTTGTTGTTGAGAAGGAATCTGTGAATTTTAGAGAAGGAACTGTGAAAGGAATTGAAGAAATCATAAAAATGACGACTACCCATGTTAAACAGTCAGGGGTGGCCAATAAAACTACAGAAAGCTCGCCGAAGAACCACCTCGGAGAATCTCAGAAAACCGGGGAAGTTCATCGCCCAATGCATGCTAGTCAGCAAGAGTTTAAGGAAACAGATAAAGTTGTGAGCAAAGCTCAGCCAGTGGTTTCAATGACTCAATACCCAGAGTGGACTGATGAACAGCTCTTAGAACTTTTTGCTGGTGATGAATTGGATGGGTAAGGTTTCTTTTGTTTCTTCTATCTTAAACATTGTAAACCGCTATTTGATAAGGAACTAAGGAAAGAAGGAAGCTGAGGCTTATGGATTTCTCTGATTCTTTTTTGTAAATTCTGCTCGAGAACTCTATCAGAAGTTATAAATTTTGTATAAAAGCTCTATCATTTGTAATTAGTTCTTATTAGTATATTCACCCTTGTGTTGTGTGGGAGCGTGGGAGCTATGTTATTGTTTGGTGTGTGTTCCAATGTTCAATCCCATATACCGGAGCGTAGTAGAGCGTAGCGGCCAGCCCCAAAAGCGTTATAGCGGATAGCGGAATGAACGCTAGTTGGACTACTTTCAAATATAATAGATAAGTAACTACTAGAAGCATATATAATACATTACATACACATTTTGAATTCAAAACGTATGATATATGCTAATGAAGGTTGTAAACATCTCAAGTCTTAACACTCATAAATCCTAAATTACTTAGACATACTCTTTAGTTACATACAAGATGAATAATTATAAGAAGAAAAGAAGACCGCGGCAAAAGGTTGAAAGAATGAAAGAACTCAAGAAGATGAAGCAGCAGATTCTACCGGTGAAAGAAGGAAAGAGGAGTGCAAAGGTTGTCGTTCTTGAAGGAGATGTCACCGAAGAGTAGAAAGATATCATCACAGAGCAGAAAGAATGAGATATGGAGCATTTTAAAAAGATGGGGCCGTTTGTAAGCGTTTGCACTTCCACGTACGTGTAGAAGGGTTTTAAGTGGTTAATGTTTTATTTTAAAAGACAAATTTACTCTTCTACCTCATCAGTAAGTAAATAATACACAGATAATCTAGTAGGACTTCCATTCGATCAGTAAATAGTACGCAGATAACCTAGTAAGACTTCCATTTCCTAGGTTATTGAGGGAATGGAAGTCCTCCTATGTTATTTGCGTATTATTTACCATTCTACCTCAATAAGTAAATACTACACAGACAAATTTACCTTTCTACCTAAGCATTTTTTAGTGAATAATACCCTTCTATCTCGCATGCTTGCCTGTCCAAGCAAAGTCGGATGAGCCATCAAAAGAGCACGACATCCCAAAAGAGAATATGAGGAATTTCCCGCCGCTGCCAGGGATGGACATGTGTCTGTCACTCTTCAGAACAACCATCTAGAAGTGAAGATTCCATCAAAGGGGTGATTAGAGAGGAAATGTAAGTGCGGATGTTTAATCTTTTTCAAAAAACCGTTTTTGCTCATTGTCACCAAATGATTTTGCCCTCAAGATTGAACCATCTCAATGACAAGTCTTGCATTTATTGCCTTTAACGGCTTCTCTGCCACTCTTGAGAGTATCCGGGATAATCATGATTTATTTATGAATTCTCAAGAAACAAAGATTAAAAGGTTTGAAATAAGAAATGATGATATATTGCTTCGCGATAACAATTCCGTGCTTATTCCATTAAGATTATAATTATATAAATTGCAAGATGAGAGGGCAAATTCGATTTTTTGAGTAATTTTGTTTATTAAAATTAATTATTATGGGTGTGAATAGAAATTGTGTGGTTGTAAATTGAATTTCTCAACGGATCCATCTATAGTTATTGCGCTTCCGTTGGTTGCATCATTCGAACTAAAGTCCAAAGTGGTCTCGGTTTTCAATTTGTTTTTCAAAAATGTGTTTCAATTAGAGCTTACTCTCATGCATTGATGCATGGGGTACTCATACACATCTACAAGAAATAGTCTAATTGCCGAAATCAATTTCAAAAGGATAAATGAATTCCTACTCAAGTGCACAAACTCAAAAGGATATATATCTGTGATATTAAATATATTATTTGTTAACAAAAACATATGGAAGCCATAAAACATAGCACATCAAGGCTAACATCGCCTCCGATCCACAAGGATGAAAAATGTAATATTATCAGATGCAAAATGTTAAAAAAATTCTAGGAGATTGATTAAAACTAATGTTCAATGAAAGTTATATTAAGTAATATTGAAATGTAAAAATAAATATATTTTGGATGAGAGTCCTAGACTCAGACAAAGTTTCAAACTCTTGCTCTATCGGCCATCGTTGTGATCAAGCTTTGGTTGTTCTACAAAATGTTTAAAAATTAAAAAATTGGAACACAATGTATTTCACATTTTACGTCAATTAAATATGATAAATTTTAGTTCAATAAAATCAAGTAAAATTTAGTTGAATAAAATCATAATCACCACCCCTAAAAAATTCATAATCACAAAAAAAATAGTTAGATCAGTACTAAGAAATTATTCCTCGGTGTATAAACTATAAAGTAATGAATTTATAACACCAAGTATATGTGAAATTGGCATGTTCAAAAATAATTAAAAAAATACTTGTGCACATCTGTGCATCCGATATGAGCAAAAGAGACTAGGTATTTCGTGAACGAAAGACGAATGGCACATGGGAATTTGAAAGACGGGTTGAGTTTTTACGTTACCATAGGTAATATTGTCAACACTCCAATGCACCTCAAATTGAAGTGTAGGGAATATAATCCTTTAACACATCCCAACAATTATTAACCCTCCTCTTTTTTCACTACTTCCCTCCCAAACAAGTGTTCCTGAGCATGAACAAAACCAGGTACACCACACCACTATTCGAGTTTCAAGTCATTACATGAGTAATGATAAGTCTCATCCCACATCACACTTCCGCAGGCATGATATACACTAAAGTGAAGGCCATTTCACCTTCAAAGGCGAATAATGTCTACATCCAAAATTATTATTATCGCTTAAAGAGCAACCAATTTGAAGCTTGCGTTAGAAGGCTTAAAATCAAAAGTGCTTTCGATAATCCATGCAGTTCAAAAGCCCAAACCAAAGCATTGGGCCCAAAATTGCACTATAACTACAAACTCATGTGATCAAGAAAGATATAGAACTGCAAAAACTAATGCTGAATCGCTCCGGAACTTCCACGTTGCTTGCAAGGGTATCTATCCTCTCATCGGCGAGCATAAGAATGTATCAACCAACTATCAACTGCCACCAATTCTGTTCCTCTAATAACAAAGCACCTCCTCCCCCTCCCCCTATTGGAACAGCTTTGCCAGCCTCTCCGCAGACTGGGCTGCTCTCTTGTTGGTTGGCTCAAGCACCAGTGCATATCTGAAATCTGCAATCCATATTACAAGACCAAAATGAAGAACATTTCTAACCAACAACAAATCCATAAAGTAGGGATATTGGTTTGTTTAATTTTGAACATTGTAAATCAGGAACTGGAAAAAATAGCTTAAATCAGTTTCGATCGTCTTTATAGTTTGGTTGGTCTTTGACAGTTCAGTCACTTTCAAAGCCTGAACTTCAAAAAGTTAATCGAACTGTTCCAGAAATCAGTTATGATCAGTTTCAGTGTTGGTACGATTCGTCAGTCAGTTACAGTTTGGTAGTTTTTTACTTTTTTATCCACCCCCAACTCCCTAGTGATTGAACAGTCAAAGAGTATCCATCCCCAACTCCCTAGTGATTAAATGGTCAAAGAATAAGAAATGCGAGTGAGCCATCTTCAACAGCAGGAGCAGTTAAACAGTGGAAGGGCTTTAATTAATAAGAACATAATAATAATTGGATGATGAAAATAAGACTGTTTACCTTCTATGGCCTGGTTATAGTAGCCAAGCATTTCTCGCGCTGTTCCCCTCCTAAAGTATGCTTTTACATTCTGCATGTGGGCAGAGGAAAAGGAAAAAACAATGTAATACTTTCCCCTCTCTTCTACTAAAGAAGTGCCAACATAGAAGATGCAGACTTGTAATAGTTCTTTCTATATATAGTCACTCAGGTACATGACCATAACAGTAAAACCCACAGCCAAGGAATGCATAAACATCTTTAACTGAGAGAATTTTTTAGAACCTCAACGCCGAAAATTTCAACATGAATAATCATGAATACCAACAACTAAAAAGACTAGGGTTATAATTTTTGGAATATCCAGCGAACATCTCATACCAAGTTAAATTGTACGCCTCCGCCCACAGCTTTTACTGAAAAAGGTTAATCAAATGAAGCTAACATTTCATGTAACTTAAAATAAAATAAGAGTTAAAGACAAACATCATATGACATTAAGTTAAACCAAGATAACATTAGAGAATAAGTCAGATTTCAGATTTATGATAGTTGTACAGTTGCACCTTACCAAAATTGAAAAGTTATTTTGGTCAAAAGGGACTATTTTTGAGGAGGAAGTAGAGTACAACTCAAGGGTTCTATTACAATGCTAATATAGAGATACAATGGGTTAACCATAATAGGAGGAGGAAACTCTAACGTTTTTTTAACATTGAATTGCTTCTTCTAGTAGCAGTGTTTATTTCTATATTTCAAAATCTCATTCAATGTGCACATGCAGTATAATAAATGAACGTAAGGACTGTTAGATTTTAGAGATTTAGGTCAAGATGGATTGAATTCCATCTTAGACATTGAGATATACGAGAGAATAAAGTAAATGTTTGCTGAAAAGTATATCTTATTGATGAGCAAAAGCATTGCCTTAAAAAGGCATTACAATAGATAAGGTAGGAGAAGAGCCAATGAATCTAGACTAATTTTTAAATAAAATAAGGGAAGTACAATGATTGACTGAATGGTTGCTGCCACTAGCTGTTCCAAACCGTTGGAAATGAACTCATATGTCGCCAGCTCACCTTGATATTTTATTTGTTTTAATACTCCCCCTCAAGCTTAGAATTCGAAATCACCCGAGAAATCTAAGCTTGGAAGAGAATCCAATAGTATCACCTCGTTAAAAACCTTAATGTGGAAAACCACGTGGGACAAAAGCACATTAAGGGAAAAAGAGTATGACACTACTGGATTAGGGGATATTTGATCAATGAGGTAATGTCAAGTCCACAAGTCCAAGTTTTGCACAAATGTGATCGCAAACCTTGATACTTGCAGCCTTGGTGAAGATGTCCGCGAGCTGGTCCTCGCTCCTTGTGAAGCACGGGAGAATGACTCCTTCTTCTATCTTCTCTCGAACCTTGTGGCAGTCTATCTCGATGTGCTTAGTCCTTTCATGAAACACGGAGTTGGTGGCGATGTGTATAGCAGCTTGATTGTCGCAATGAAAGGTGATAGGATGATCTTGTTCTATTCCGAAGTCTTTGAGAAGCGTTTTGACCCAAGTCAATTCATTAGTTAGCTTCCTCATTGCTCTATACTCTGCCTCTGCACTTGAACAAGAGACAACT